CAGGGGCTCCTGACCTTCAGCCTCGTTTCACAGGACAGGCCCCCTGAGCATTCGTCTCAGATTCTAAACTTATTCTAGTCTCGAAGTTGAAACTGTCCCGGGTCCGACTGTTTCAGAGATCTTTCTCGTGTCCAGAGAAATCAGTGCCGTGTCCGTATTCCATTCCACCCTGACGTGGGCGGGATTGTCCGCACTCGGAACCGTGTTTGAAAGCAGCCTGACTGTTGGTACTTAGAGCCCAGAGACGACCCTCCCTCTTTTCTCAGCAGGAGGAGAGAAGGCGGTTGGTCTGATGAGTTTTGTGAAGTCGCCCCCGGTGTAGTTAACCAGCAAGGAGAAATCTGCGAGCTGGCTCACGCCGACCCGACTGTTCTAAGTGTTTTTTCTCGCCGCCCTGCAGGAGCGAGCACCCGCTGGCCCAGCTGTACTGCCACTCGACCCTGGAGCATCACCACTTCGACCAGTGCCTCATGGTGCTCAACAGCCCGGTGAGCGCCCCCGGGACCCGAGGGGCGGTGTAAACGCCGCGGTATTTTAGGTGTTGGGTCCATGCCCAGGATCGTGATTCCTGAGCGTGCTTTGTTCCTTGTTGGGTAAGGAAGGCGAAGCCGGACACTGCGGTGCCCACAGCCTCGCCCCTCCTCGCACCACGCGCCAGCCCGGCCTCCACTTGGTCATTCCACATCTGTAGCAAACAACCCTGGTGTTTTATGGCTCTCAGTTAATTCTGTTGTGTGGGGGTTTTTTGGGGGTTTTTTTTGTTCCAACGAAGTGGTGGGCATAGCTCTCAAGTACCTTTTCCTCTCTTTACTGAAACCTCTGACCACGAACAACTTGTAAAGAAATGAAGCTATCCAACAACTGGGGGAACAGATATTTGTGAATGTGAGAAAGCATGTGACATGCCGGACACATTTATGTCGAGGAAAGTGAGGTTGAGAAAACGTATACCAGCAAGCTAGCAGTGGGGGTCTTGCCCGGTGGAGTTCCTGCTCTTCGCTTTCTCTCTCCGGCGTGCTCTTTACGCGCATTAGCCGGCCGCGCGCGTGGCTATAGCAGCAAGGAAACGCGAGCTGCAGCTGCGCAGCGCGGGGCTCGGGGGTGTCACCTTAGGGCAGCTCCCCGAGCTGGATGTCGCCTCCCCCTCAGCTTCCCCGAGCCCCGGGGCCCCTCAGGGTGGCCCGTGACTTTCCTGGACACTCTCTCACTACTTTGGGTCTCAGCCTGGCCTACTCAATCCTCCACTTAGAAGCCGTCATGCCCAGTCCTGGGTCCCGGCCCAGAGGCTTACGGAGAGGAGAGACTGTGCCCATGCCCGCCAGCGTGACAGTCTCAGGACCTGGACTTAGTCTCAGGTTCTCCCCGACCGCCTGCTGGCTTCTTTCATCCCGCCCTGTGTCTCTAACTCCGTCCGCACCCGAGCCCCCAGACGTGGAGGGCGGGAGGGAGACCGGGAAGAGAGGCGAGAACAGGCTCGCGGAGGGCGCTGTGCCAGTGACTGGCTCCCGCGCCGGTGGGTGTGGAGGCCGAGTCCTTTCCTGATGGTGGTTTCCAGATCCGGGCCAAGCGCAGCACTGGGGGCCTCTCCACAGGGTGTTCCCCAGTGCGAGTAACCGTCTCTGTCCCGTGTCACCTTGTGGCTCCTTCCTCAGCTCCCAGAACCTGACGTCTTGTCCTCTCTGTGGCCCTCTTGGACATACTCATGTTGAGAAAAGAAGTTAAGAAAATGTATACAAGACGTTAGCAATGGTTGTTTGGCTAACCATCAACGCTGCGCCTCCCAAACTCGGACAGGCCGTCCCACAGGGCGCCCACCCCCCTGCTGCCGTCGGATCTTCCAGATGGGAGGCAGACGGGTTCGGAGCATGCAGGGACGCCAGCCCCGCGCTGGCAGTGAAGGGACAGTCCCTCCTCTCCCTAAGCCTCGGCGCGCGTGCAGGGCTAGGAGTCGGGCACCCCGTCTGGAAACCCCCTTACAGGTTGCGCACCTGGTCTAGCGTGGCGGGAGATTGTTTCCTACGGATCCGTTCACGCACGTGGGTAAGGGGGGTGACGTCTGCGTGACGGATAAGTTCTGCTGGGTGAGGCGCCGGACTCACGGGAGTTGCCGTTCGGGTTGACAATACTGAGGACGAGGGCCCGGCTGAGGGGGCCTGGCCCGGCTCGGCTCTGGGCCCCGGGAGGCGCAGCCCCCGTCCTGGTGGTCCGGTCCCACCTGCGCTGTCTCAGCCCCATCTCCCGGCCTGTCCACACAATTGCATCGTGTCGTATCATCTCCAGATGGCCAGTCCCTGGCCCTGGTCTGGTTTGGCTCTGGTCACACAGCTGCACAGGCTTTAAGCAGTTACCCCCAACATTGTTTTCCCATAAATGATGTTATTTTTAGGGTGCAGTTTTTTAGAACTGAGACTTTTCAGGAACGGATGTCCTATTATAGCAGGAACATCTGCACTTGCCCTGGGATTTGCTCCCTGTGTGCTTTGGCCAGGACTTTCATTTTAATACTCTATTCAGTTTTCAAAAAGAAAATATGCTAGCCTCTTCTAAAAACCACACTTAACAAGTTCCTGCCATAGCTGTTTCTGCTATTAGGTAACATAACTTAGGTAGTATTTTATTACTTAACAGAGCAGACGGGATCTGGTGGTCTGTACGGCTGGCCTCAAACTATAAGTCCCATCTGCCTATTCTGTCTTTGGAAGCCCAAGTATACAGGAATTTACAGCCTTTGCTTGGGGAAGGGAAATAAAAACGTAACACCATAAGACAGTTCCTTTTTCCCCTTGAAGTGGTTTTATCTTATAATCGATGAAAGTATCAGAAGGTATTTCCTGAATAGTTTTCTCTTTGGCCCAGGCTCTAGAATGATTTGATATTTTAAAATAATGTTTATGGTTGTAATCACAGATTCCTCAGTTAGACAGATGCCCGGTTTCAGCACCTAGTTATCTGTTAAGCGAAGGTTTTGGCCCCGGCCCAGCCCACCCACAGTTCTCCGGTCTTCAGAACAATCCCCTGCCTCCGGTCCTGGTCCTGAGCCTCTGGGTTTTCCTCTGTCTTGGGATTTGGAAAGCACATCTGGCTCAATGTGCAGATGTTGAGTTTATTCTGAGAGTCCATGTTCTACTTAATTCAAGATGAGAGCTGTTCTTTAAATTACAGGCAAGAAATACCAAACGGTTTTGTGGTGACAGCGTCTGAGTATTAGCACACGCACCAGCCACACTTTACATTGTCCTGTCGGTGTTTCAGACCAGGCTGCCCTCTGCCAGGAAGCCCTCCGTTGGCTCCTGCCCCCGACCAGCGTGCTGGCCTGTTCCCAAGGAATGCACACTGCTCCCGGTATTAAGGTGAAAGTATATCACTGTGTCCCAAAGAGCTACTGAATTTATTAGGAAAGCCAGAGAAATATTCTTTAGTAATCAGCTGTGTAGAAGTCCCCACTCAGCTCTTCGTTCCTGCAGCTTTGACTTTTCAGTTTTGCTGCAGTTAGAACGTGGTGGGTGACCTGCCCCGAGGCTGTATGGTTGGGGTCTGGGCCTGGACTGAGCCCCGGGTGTGTAGAGTTTGCAGACGCCCCCACACAGGCAGGTGCACCGTCAGGACGCCGTTTTCTCTCATATGCCCCGGCAGTGGGAGCAGAGAGGAGAAGCATCATTTCGGGGCGTTCACGCTAAGTACGCAGGTGTCCCCCCGCACGCACGAGTCAGCCCTAGCGCGCGTGCGGCCTGTGACTGCGCGCTCCGCTGTGTCCTTGTCGGCAGCTCCTCCGGGCGGCGTGCTAACGGTGGTTTCTCTTTCCACGAAGGGCAACCAGATTCTCAGCGGCCTCTCCATTGAAGAGTACAAGACTGCGCTGAAGATCATCAAGCAGGCGATTCTGGCCACAGACCTAGCCCTGTACATCAAGTAAGTCTCAAGAAGCGCCCCGGGGCAAGGAGCAGGTCCCGGAAGGGTTCGCACGGCTGCAGACCTTTAAGGCCCACGCTGGGAAACGTTTGGGCGGTAGGACGGATGCCCCGGCAAAGCCGTTCACCGGACTGTGTGCAGTTTCTCACGGGAGGAACCGGGGAACTTTGAAGTTGCTGGTTCAGAGCCGACAGCGGGCCCCCGTGGGCGCTGTGTGCGGGCGCTGTGTGCGGGCGCCGCGGGCACCCCGGGCTTCCCTGCCACGGGGCCTCTCTCCTCCAGCCAGGGTCACGCCTGTGCTTTTAGCGGTTCATGAGAAGTAAAATCAAACAGAGCATCTCCAGAGTGTCACGTGATCTCACTTATATGTGGAATATAATGAACTGACGAACAAAACAGATCCAGAGACGTGGAAGCATGGAACAGACTGAGGGATCTCAGGGAAGGAAGGGGGAGAGATTAACCAAAGAACTTCTATGTCTGTGTGCTTGTTCCATGGACACAGACAATAGTGCGCTGAAGGCCTGGGGGGCAGATAGATGGGGTCAAAGGGGGGAAAGGGGGACCTCTAATACTTTCAACAATAACGATAAATTTTAAAAAATAATTTAAATAAAACAGAGCAAGCACACAGGAACACACATATCTAAAGGTGCCTGCCTCTGAAAGTCTCTGCTTTTTTGAATTTGGGAGCACTTTAAAGTCAGTTAGGATAAGAGAAAATTGAATAAATTTCAGCTGATTCAAAATGATTGCCCAGTAAAGATGATCTAATTACCAAGAATTTGAAAAATACCTGTAACCATAAAGCCTTCCCAGCCTTTCCAGGCCACCTGGTCTCTCCTCTGAGTCCTCCTGGGACCTGCATTTCATTTCTGGTGCTCAGTCACATGCAGCCCACTTTGTTACACAGGTTTCCCTGTTTTCCTGGTATCTCTGGCTTCGTATGACGCCCCGAGATGCTGGCAGCGCTGGGCCCCTGGATACCCACTGTATGGATGAGCGCTCCCTACCCATGTTCTCCGCCTTTCTTTGCTTCAGAAGCACGTCACAACTTCATACTGACACAGAGCAATTGTTACAACTTTTTTCTTACCCTATGTCAGAATATATTTGGGTTATATGAAATTAAACCGAAATCCTATAGATCTTGTTATGCCACACATTTAAAATTCCTTAAGCCATTCTCGGCACCCCGTGTTAACCCACATGGTTCCCCTTTCCTGGAGTCCGGGCTGGGAATCGCGATTGCTGGCACCTGTGATGTGCGCCAGGCGAGGGTTGGAGGGTTGGTGCTTCACCCCGAGGACATGGTAGAAGGGGGAATGTGTTCTTAAGTAGTGATTTTTATGTTGGGTTCAAATATGGGTAAAAACCAGTAGAGATTTTCCCCACAAAATTGAGTCCATGATTCTTTGCAGACCACAGGGGATGAGATAAGAGCCTAGGGACTCCTCATAACCACCAAATATTTGTTTTTGTTTTCCAGGAGGCGAGGAGAGTTTTTTGAACTTATAAGAAAAAACCAATTCAACTTAGAAGACCCTCACCAAAAGGAGCTGTTTTTGTAAGTAGCCTTCCTATCTATCCTGAAAGCTGAAGGCTGGCTTCCCGGTTAATTTTGTCACCATCAGGTTCGTTGCAGTCCTTTGTTACCGCTTGACGATCTCAGAGGCTGTTGGAGTTTTCCAGTGTTGCACAGAGGACCAAACATGGGCATTCAGCAGAAATGCATTTGCAAAATGCATTTGCAAAAAAGTGGATAATTCATTCCTTTGCTCTGGAAGGAGCATTAGGATGTTATAGACCATCAGTACATGGCTCTAGGGTTCCCGGGTTCCCATCTCCAATTCTTTGGGATGAAAGCTGCAAATAGCATTGTAAAGACTGTGGGAGCAAGAAGCTGGCTGTGAGGGGTTCACAGCCCTTGAACGACGATGGCAGAGCCTCGCGGTCAGGACTGGGCTCTCCAGATGTGTTCTCCCTCACCCACACCTCTGCCCATCCCCACTAGCTATGAACACCGTCCTTTGGCTGTTACCATGACTACCTTGGGGGGCAAGAACTGCATCAGTAAGAAAGAGCAAAGAGTCATAATCGAGTGATGCTAAGGACAGTGCATTGCTTGAAATAGATCGTTACCATGTGCACAGAGATGCCAACCATGAGGCAACAGTGCACAAAGGCCCAGCTCTCTGCCCTGTGGTCGTGTGGCACTTGGCAATCTCAGCATGGCTTCAGGGTGGTACAGACATGCCGCTGTGCTTTGGGAGCACTAGCTAGCTCTCCTCAATAACAAAGAAATCCCACCGCAGTGCCGAGCCTGGGCCTTGCTTTTCGCTGCCCGGCTCTCCTCCTGTGACCACCGAGGTCTCGTGGGTCACTTACTGTCACCTCCGCACCCTTCCCTTTGCAGATGGGAGTTCAGCAGATGTGGGTGCGAGTGCTCCTTGGGGGAGGGAGGCAGTTGTGTTGCCGGGACCCCCAAAGTCCTCCGCGAGAGCAGCCTGAGCTGCCATGGGACTGTCTCTGCCCTCATCTCTTGCGAGAGCGTTGCTGTGAGCGATGGAGAAGTGGGGGAAGTTAGGGAGAAGGTACTTTCAGGCTGGGTGTCCCCACGTGGTGTGGGCCTCACCCCAAGTGTGTCTGTATCACAGCGGAGTGTTAATCTCACCTGAGGACATTTATTTTTTTCATTGTTCTTTTTAGAGAGTGGAAGGGAGGAAGGGAGAGAGAGAGACATCGATTGCTTGCCTCCCTCATGCACCCTGACTAGGGCCAGGGCTCGAACCTGCAACTGAAGTACATGCCCTTTGACTGGAATTGAACCCAGGACCCTTCAATCCGAAGGCCGATGCTCTAACCACTGAGCGCACTGGCCAGGGCAGTGAAGGCCTTGCCTGTTCTTTCCGACAGATTCAGAGCATGAAGCTGCGGATACTCGGCGCCTGCTCACGGGCCCCAGGGCGGTGTGGTTCCCCCAACAGGAGGGCTCAGAGCGCCCTCCTCACGTTCCCCTGGCAGACCCTGCTCATAGTTCAAGGTCGCTGCGTGTGTGAGTGAATCGGGACGCCCACCGTAATTCCTGCTCTCTCAGGACCTTCATCAGCAGGCTGTTACCATTTAATAGCTAATTATTAGTGATCAATGTGTTTTCATCAGATGACCACTGAGCGTCGAGTGCCAGGGTGCAAAGAGTAAACAGCATCGGGCAAGCGTTGCCCAAAGGTCAATAATTTCTCTCCTTTGCCGTCTGGGGCTGATGGAGGCGGTTTGAGTGCAAATTTCAGTAGTTCACTGAGTAACCAAAACATGACCCTCTGACACCCGGTATCAGTCACATTCCTGGATGAATTCCATTTCTTCAGTCTCTATAAATGGTCAACTGTGGGTTAGAGGGTTTCAATTTCGCCTTTTTACCAAGAACGACTTATGCGAGTAACATTCTCATCAGAGCCAATGGGCTCTTGGGCTTCTCTGTCCCCCACAGAGCGATGCTGATGACCGCGTGCGACCTCTCTGCCATCACGAAGCCCTGGCCCATTCAGCAACGGGTACGTTGTCGCTCAGTGACAGTAAACTAATCATTAAAAATCAAAGTGAGGAAAGTCTTTACTCCCAAAGGTAGCTTCTGAAGTATTCGTGGAACTTGTCTAATTTTTAAGAAGTATGGAAAACAAGTAATTGGATGTAAGTTTTCTTTTGTAGAAGTTTCATTAGCACTTGATGTTTGTAAGATATATTTAAGCAAGAGGAACATCTGTGTTAGCACAGCAAGGCCCTAGTGGTAAGTTTTTCTTTGCTAAGTGCTACTTCTGGCTCACTTAGAGATGTTTCAGCACATCCCTTTAATAATGGAATGAGGCGGAATTTGTATTTTCATTTATCCTTTCTTTGTTCCACATCAGACCCTGGAAAGGTAGCACAGTGAGGTCGGGGTCCAGACAAACAAAGCAATACTGTCAAGCCTCTGTCATCAAAACAGCGCGGTGTGGGTGACAGGCCAGCGAAGTCAACAGAACACTGGAAATTGCATAGAACATTTCATTTATAACAGAGACAGTGTTTAAAATAACTGGGCAAAGGTAGACTTTTAACTAGATGATGTTATGATGATTTTCCCATCTCCATAGCCAGATAGCAAAAGACAAAATGGGATCCACTCTGCAAACGTAAACTCCAAATGCAGCAGCGAGTTCAGTGCAGAGAATTAAACCATCCAAGTATTAAATAAAAACATCTGTGGAGTCTTCTGTAACCCAGGAATGAGAAAACCTTCCTAACTATGGCTCAACATGCAAAAACTATAAAGGAAAAGACTAATAAATTTAATTCCATAAAAATGGAAAAAGCTTTTGCATGGCAAAGACACCCTAAGCAAAGTAAAGGACCATGAAAAACTGGTAAAAATGTTGGCATCTTCTGTCGATAGTTAATATCTCTAATATTAAAAACTTCTAAAAAACCAAGAAAGGCCACAACCCTATAGAAAAATGGGCTTGAACGAAAATGGACTTGAACGAAAAGTTGATAAAAGAAGAAATGTGAATGGCTCTTATGAGGTTCTCAGAACCTCAATCATAAAGGGAAAACGCAAGTTAAAATTATGGCGACACACACAAAGCACTCATCCAGAATCTCATAACAGCTTTATTCCCAATAGTCAGAAACCAGAATCAACCCAAGCGTCTGTCATGGGGAGGCTGGACAGACACACTGCAGTGTGTGCTTCATACAGTCGAGTGCTGCTCAGCAGTAGAAAGTAACCCTTACGTGCAACGGCATGAATTAGTCTCATAAAATACTATACTGAGCAAAAGAAGCCAGACACTAAAGAATACTTATTGTGAGTTCCTTTCTATGAACAGGCAAAACTAATCGATGGTGAAAGAAATTAAAATAGTGGTGACGGGAGAGAGAGGAAAGGAGGGGCAGGGTTGCCCGGGAAGGGTCTCGGAGGTGCCCCTGGAGTGGTAGGAAGAGTCTGCACCTGGTGAGGGGTATGTTACGTGGTTATCGGCATTTGTCAATACAGTGAACCGTGTACCTATGATCTATGCAATTCACGGTACATAAATCCTACTTCATTTAAAAAAAAAACACAAAAAACAAGCATTGAGATACCTTTTCTCAATTGTCCAACTGCCAAAAATGCAAAGGTTTTACAACATTCTCTGCTGGGAAGCTGGGGAAAGACAAGGCAAAATACTGTAACCCTTCAGAAGTGTGTAAAGACACATGTTCACTTAGCATCACTTCTAGGGGTCTTGTCACAAAGATATACTGGCAAGAATATGTGAAGGTGCTTACACAGCGAAGGCTGGAGCTGGCCGCGCACCCGTCGTGGGGCGCTGACTGAGTGACCGAGTCCGTTTCGCCATGAGCTCCGTGCAGCTGTGCAGAGAAGTGAGCATTATCTCTAAACTGCCCGGGAGTGGTTACAAAGGTACGTTTTATGCGGAAAAAGGTTTAGCACAGACAAGTCAATGGTTCCCCCTTGAGGAAGGAGGGGATCGGACTGAGGATAGGAGATGGAAGGGAGAGCTGCTTGGCAGGACTTGCTTTGTAGACTGAACCTTGGAACCATGTAGATAGCGCTTATAATTATTAAAGAAAATTGAGTTTTAAACATCACTGAACCTTGAAAGTGAAATGGAACAATCCAGGTTTTGCTGCGGAGCCACACTGAGAAGGACTGTTTCGTCCCACGTGACGTTAACACAGGAACTGGACCAGGTATCTCTAGTGGGATGTACCTTAAAACAAGCAGAATGATCCCCAAAAAGCCCTCAAAACTGCTTTCAGGAGTCACACCGCTCGTGGTGATGCCGTCTAGATATCGGTCCCTGTTGTAGGGGATGCGGGAGAGAAGCACGTAGGAATTGCATGGGGTTGTCGAGAGCTAGGAGTTGGGCCTGAGCGGAGATGACCTACGGGAACCAGCGTAGGCGGCAGCCCTGCCGCCCTGGTGAACCCGAGACACGAGTGAGCGGACATGCGCCAGCCCAGCCCCCAGAAGGGCGTAAACACAGCGATCAGCGAGGTTACGGGGCAAACCTAGGGCCCGACTGAGGTTTCTAAGCGCCTCCTGCAGAGGAAGGTTGCGGGAGAGAAGTGGCTGGTTGCGGTCCTGGACAGGAGACGTGCCGGTGAGCAGGACAGCTGGTCGGGAACGCGAGGAGGCACCGCCGCTGCGAGGGCCCGGGCAGAGGGCCTGGGCGCCCACCCGATGAGCCCCAAGGGCCGAAATGGAGCAATCGGAGCATCGTTAGGGATCGAAATACATTTAAATCTCAGAGTTCAAAGTAATAACGAAGATAATATAACAAAGCCTCCCCTGGTCACCTTCGGTGGATGCTTTGGTGGAGAACCATTTTTTAAAATGGTAATTAAAGTGGAGAAGGTGAAGCATTTCTCCTGCCTTTTTTTTTTTTTTTTTAATACCAA